AGTCTTCAAGCAAGAACTCCCTCATTACTGCCAGAGCAGCACCAAACCATTCATGAGGGATCCACCCCCATGACCCAAACACCCTACCTTATGCCCCACTTTCCTGCAATATCACACTGGGGATAAAATTTCAACATGAGATTTGGTGGGTACAAACAAACCATATCCAAATCATAGCAGGTATATATTGGACAGCAAAGGCACTGAACATTCCCTTCATTGCAGAAAGTTCTGTTGCACAACCCTGGATAGATCACATTGTCACCAGTTTCCCAGTATATAATTTTCTATTATTTTCAAGTATCCTCCCCTCCTGCCAAAAAAGTATTGCTTATATCCTAAGCCTGTGATTTTTTTTTCCCTACTGAATAATAATCTTCAAATTTAAAAAGTCAGTATTTGAAATGATTAGCAAGTTAGGGTTTTAGCCGGGCGTGGTGGCTCACACCTGTAATCCCAGCACTTTGGGAGGCCAAGGTGGGTGGATCATGAGGTCAGGAGTTTGAAACCAGCCTGGCCAAGACGGGAAACCCTGTCTCTACTAAAAGTACAAAAATTAGCCGCGTGTGGTGGCAGGTGCCTGTAATCCCACCTACTCGGAGGGTGAGGCAGGAGAATGCAGAGAATCGGTTGAACCTGGGAGGGCGGAGATTGCAGTGAGGCGAGATGCACACACTGCTCTAGCCTGAGTTGATCAGAGCAAGACTCCATCGAAAAAAAAAAAGAAAAGAAAAAAAGAAGTTTGTTCTATAAAAATGTTGTTCAACTTAGAACAATAAATGCCAAAATATGTAAGTGAGATTTAAAAAGAGAATGTAAAGGAGTCCTTAGTGGGCAGTCCATGGTCTATGAATTAAGATACAACCACTGGATAATCTTACAAATAGCATGGTTTGTGAATTATTTTTTATATAAATTTTGAATATTTTTTTTATGGTATTACACCATACCTTGAAAAGAGCAAGGACACAAAAACAATCAGACCTGTATATAGATGAATGATAAATATTTTGTGTTGATTTACAAACAATTTAGATTAATCAGTTACTCTGTGTTAGACTGAGGCAAAGTGAGAAAAGCAGATAGAATTCTATTCATTTATTTCATTGATTCTTTACGAGGTGGTAGGATGATGTTCCATCTTTGTTAGGTATGTATTCTTGTAGTTACCCTAGTTTGTAGGTATGTAGTATTGTCAAGGAAAGTTAAAACTTGAGTATGTTAAATGAGTAATAATTAAAGATTTGTTTGGGCGAGCATGAAGAAAAATAAGATAGTCATGCTGATGCTAGAACATATTTAAGGGATTGCATATCATGCTTAAATTCTTTTCCCACATTGGTGGTGGGTAATAGCTTGTGATGTTTTTCTGGGGGTTAATATTATTGAGAATTTTTTGTCTGTGCAGTATTATAAAACAGTGGACTTGTAGGAGGGCATATAACAATCATTTAGTTGTTAGTGGTTTCTAAAATGGTAAGGATTACTTTTATAGTGTTATTTGAATTATTCTTAGGTTTGGAAATGAATTTGAAGAATTACCTTTTGCTCGTAAAAGGCCACTGTTAGGATTTTTATGAGCAGCTTTAAGTTAGTTCTGGCTTCATCTCTATGTGTGTTTTAATTTCAGTGTTTTTTTTCCTCATGCCAATTGCAAGTACCCTGTGGATATGTATAAAAAGCTTCCTGAGGAAGGAATCTTTACTAGTTTT